TTTTTTTTTTATGCTTTTGTATAAATGCCCTAAAAGAAATATATTCTTTCTTTTTTTTTTTTATTGTTTTATTATTCATATGTGCATACAAGGTATATTCTTTCTAAAGATAATTAGGTTATACCATATGCTGCATTCTGTCTTCCAGCTAACTTTTTTCACTCAATAATAGGTCTTGGAAATTAGTCCACATCAGAACCTAGACAGTGACCTTATTATTTTAATTTCATGCAGAATATGGCCTATGTTGGATATGCCATAGTTCATGTAACCATTCTACTTACTATTTGGCATTTAGGTTGCTTGCATTTTTCACCTTTATAGATAACATTTCAGTGGATATTCTTGTTCAGGCACACCTATTCCTTGTATCTATACATGAGTGTTTCTTTAGGTAGTAGTGTGAACTGGAATTGCTAGTCTGTAGGGTAGATATATTTAAAATTTTGATAATGCAGAATGACCTTCCAAGTGATCATATTAACTTCAACTCCCACCAACAGTGTATTGTTATCTGTTCATGCATTGCTAGGCCTTTTAACACTTGAAAAGTTAATGCTTTTTAAGATTTATTACTTGTATTTTTAAAACTTCAGGGCGATCTGGTTTCCTGTGGCCTGGATTGAATATCCCTCTTATGAAAAATGGAGCAGTGCAGACCATTGCCCAAAGAAGCAAGGAAGAACAGGAGAAGGTAGAGGCTGACATGTTCCAGCAGAGGGAAGAGTGGGACCGGAAGAGGAAGATGAAAGTAAAACGAGAACGAGGATGGAGCGGAAACACGTGGGGAGGCATTAGTCTGGGCGCCCCTGACCCTGGTCCCAATGGAGGTAGCAGTCTTGATTTTGTTTGCCTTTTTGAAATTAGTTTTGTCTGCTTAGATGGTCTTTTTCAAAAAAAGGATTTGCACATATTTGAATAACTTATCATATTATTATCCAATCTATTTTTTATGGAACATTAGAGACCCATACTAAGAGCTGTTTCTCCAACAGGATGAAATTTCCTATAATAAAAAGTTAAAAAAAAAAGTAACATGGAGAGTGTTTGAAAAATGGCTGCTATAGTGAGCAGAGAGACACCAAACTAAAAACATAGAAGGCCACCAAACAGCAGGGAATCCCTGATGGAATTGGAAGCTGAATTTTGAGTGGCTAAGTGTGGGCTGTGCTTGACTTTTTCCAGCAGTGCCCAGTAGGCTGGGTGTGAACAGATCGCTGCACCAAATTGGGCCCGGGAGTGTGGGGAAGAGACAACAGGTAAAGGAGTTGGGGACATGTGCAAGATCTGGTAGAAATGATGGGTTTTGGTGTCTTGGTCAAGTTAGAGGCTGTGAAGATGGGAGGGACTAGAAAGGAAAATACTGATCCAAGGGTCTGGAGATATGGGGAGCTTCAGGAACCATTGCCCTGGGGGCCATTGTGTAAGAGCTGCTGAAAAGAATAAGAGACAGGGTTTATGAATTCAGTGGCAGAGCAGTTTCTGTTCATGATGGTAGACAAGAGCATGGCTCTGAGAGTGGGACTGAAAGACCTAAGATTTTCTCTTTTAAAACTCTGATAGTGCCTATGTGTAGAAGAATGCTTTCATCCATTAGTAGTACAAGCACATTCATCCATATGCCTGTTTCTTTTCTCCTAGAAACATACGATGACTTTGATACCAGGATACTTGAGGTAGGCATGATGAATTAAATATCCATTTAGGCCTTTGGAGCAGTTGGAGTGGATGGGGTGGGGCTAGGTCAGGAGGAACTGAGAGGAAAAGTGTTTGATGCATGGCAGTTTCTCAGGGGGAGAGCTGATCTGGATAAGGACATAATGGAACTTTAAATTCAGTTACTTGAGAGCTGGGTCTTGTGGTATATGCTTGTAATCCCAGCTTGGGAGGCCAAGGCAGTGGGATTGGGAGTTTGAGGCCAGCCTGGGCAACATAAGGGGACCCTATCTCAAAATGGCAACTTCAGTGGTACAGTTAGTAGAATTTGGTGATTATATTTAAATTTTCTCCTTCCTAAGACTAAAGTAGATTAGCAATCTGTTATTGAATTATAAAGCTATTGTATGTGGATAGCACTCAATTCATGGAGCAGAGATGGGCAGAGAAGGGGGAGGGATAAAAGCTCGGGGTGAAGATGAATGTCCAGTTTTGATGAGAAAATGGTCTCTGAGCTGCTCACAGCCCTTGGAACTGAAGCCCATCTCAAGTAAACTTTAGCCACTCTTTCCAGGACATTCTCTAAAGTGGTCAACCTCCCTTTGAGCTGGTGCTGCATAATTAATCTATTTAACAGTGTATGGGATATCATTTATTGCATTTGTGTTGGACCCTCTCTGAGTATGTGTATTATTTCTTCTATCGATCACAGAATTTAAAATATATTTACAAGTTTTTAGGTTGGTATCCTAGTGTATGTTTTTCAAAGCCAATCCCTTTTGAAAAACTCTCATGTATGTAGGTTGTTTTCTATAAGATTATCCACAAGAATGGACTCAACCTCCTTTTTCCTTTAATTTAATTTTTACAGAAAAGGGGCACCATGAGCCAGAGAGGCAGCTGCCACCAAGCAGTTTAGTTAACAGTTTCATAGTTCTTGGCCTTTTAAATAGGCCAAAACCAAAAACCATACCTACAGATTTTCCTATAGTTCACAAAAAGCAGGTATTTCCAAATTTTCATTCTCCATTAAGCTTACTCCTCAACATAGAGATCCAGTCTTGTGCAATTATTTCCATGTGCTGCACCCTATCATCTCTAAGACATTTTAGCATCTCTGATGTTGGAATATATCTTAAATCAGTAATAAACCATTTCAGTTTAGTTCACAACTTTTTTCTTTCTTGTGGTGCATTCATTACAATAGGCTATGCTGACTTGTATAGTTTCAAATTCCTTTAAACATCATCTACTAACCCTTTGAAACAGGAAGGGAAAGCTGGTTTCTGCTCTCATCTTGAAGAAACAGTCCAGAGGAAGTTTTTTTTTGGGGGGAGGCAGCTTGTTGTTTGTGCTTGCAGAATGGGAGTGGGAGGGGGAGAGTACCATGCGTGTGAATGAATGAGCTAGGCAGATCCCTCTAGTGCCGTACTTCAGAGTTTTCTTTACATGTATTATTGATGAGACATTTTGTCTTTTAGGTAAGAAATGTCTTCAATATGACAGCGAAAGAGGGAAGAAAGAAATCAGTCCGTGTCCTGGTCGCTGTGGGGAATGGAAAAGGAGCTGCAGGTAAATTGGATGTGATACCACATGGTAGTGGTGGTGGATGGGTGGAGGCCAAGCCTGGCCCTGAGCGACCAAGCTGCTGCCTGACCTTTACTGTTGGTTAAGCCTTTCAGTAGTTTGGGGTTATAAATCTGCTGGTAGGTAAACCCATGAAGCCCCTTAGAGAGAAAAAGAAAGACTAGCTCTTCCTCTTCTTAAGTCTGTTTTTTCCGTGGAGGACAGTGGATATTTTAAAAACCTTATGACACTGCTATATTATGTACAATGAAAAACTAGAGGGACACACACCACATGTCCAATAGGGCCTTGGTTCCAAAAACAGCATAGTTATACAACGTAAGATTCTCTAGCCATTAAATAATTATGAAAAATTGCACAGTAATACTAAAAAAAGCTATGTAATATGATATAAAGTTAAATTTTTTTTGTTTGTTTGTTTTTTGTGGTACTGGCGTTTGAACTCAGGGCCTCATGCTTGCTAGATAGCCTTGAACCACTCCCCCCACCCCATTTTTGCTTTAGTCATTTTTCACATAGGATCTTGCATTTTTGTCCAGGGCCAGCCTTGAGCTACAACCCACCTACCTACCTATGCCTCCTTGCATGCCTGGAATCCCAGGCATGCACCACTGTACCCAGCTTTTGGTTGAGATGGAGTCTTGCTGACTTTTTGCCTTTGCTGACAATGAACCACAATTCTCCCACTCTCTGCTTCCCCAGTAATTGAGATTACAGGCATGTATCACCACTCCTATCCCCAAAGTTAGGTTTATATACAAAGAGACTAGAGGTCTGTACACTGAAAAGGTTAATAGTGTTTACTCCAGTTAGGTTTGCCAGTTATTTAAATGATCTTTATACTTTTCTGCAAAGCATCTGTGGTAAACACCTGTTTTCTAAATGTCTATATGCAGTTAGAAGGAAAGAAAAACTGGAAAACTGCTAGCTAACACATATTGACACTTCCACAGCAAAACTAATACAGATAGCCTGTTGCTATAAGAAACCACTTTTAACAGTAACTTCAGAAATTTTGTGTTATCACCCTTTATCTTTTTAAAACAAACACTTAAGAAAGGGAACATGTTAGAGCCAGGAGCTTGCACCTCCTTTTCTTGCTTAGTGTTACACTCAGATATCTTGTATTAGTGTAAACAGATTTCCCTTCATTCTTTGTACTGGTTACGTGGTGTTCTATAGTACGGACGAATGTAATTTTTCTAACCTTTTCCTTATTGCTAAATT